TGTGACTTTCATACTAAAAATAACATGACTTGAATAAAAAAAGCCTGAATACGAATAAGAATTGACATAGGAATTAAATGGAAACAAAAATATTGCCAAATAATACATTTTCTTAAGTCTAATAAACTAATAAAAATGAGTGCCAGAACTTTCTGGTCACCCTGTATAACATTTAATTTACAATAAAAAATGTGTCTATTTTCAACAATCATTAAAATTAATTTTTCATTTCATTTAAAGCCTTCGCATAAAACTCTTTCTCTTTTCTACAAATACTATCATGGCCATTGCTCAAAGGAGCTTTCATTTCTAGTTCCATCAACCAAAACTCATTATCAGTTTACTTGTTATTAATCAAAGCCTCATTCTTTTTAGGTATTTACTTTTATTTGTCTAGTTTTTTTCCCTGCACTTCAACCCTTTGGAACTCTCTCCCATCTTCATGTTTTCCTGACTTAACCAACCTTTAACTTTTTAAGTGTTCTGTCAACCATTTCCTTGCTCTGTAACTCTATTCTTTTTTTCTAGTAACTCCCAAATTAATAGTGATTGCTTGCAGCCTTGTTGGGAGTGAATCAGAATCAAAAATAAAAAATAAAAAACTTCAGATCAACAATTAAAAGTTATTCATAATGTAGCAATTTTTTTATTGCATTTAAGTTGTTAAATTGTTCAAACAGCCGTGAACAAATTGTTAAGAAAAAAAAATCAAGCATGGTCAGTTACAGTGTGCAATTGCACGCTATTCCTGTCCAAGCCTGTAAAATGTATAAAAAGTTGTTCAATTATCAGGAAGATTTTTGAGGAAATAAAAAGATGAAATCTTGTTTTGCATCAGAAGTTACTGGAAATAAGTGTTTTCTATCAAGGGCAACTTCAATAAAGAATGGTCCGATAATTTTAAAAAATTTTAGAACTAACTGTTAGGAAATAAGGAACCTTGGGTGTCATTTTCCAGAGAGTAGGAAAAAAAAATTTAAACACTTGATAAAACAATTAAGGGAGTAATGTAAAAAATTCTTGAGAACACTTTAGTAAGACCTTGACAGGAACGTTACCTTGACCAGGAATTGTTGGGGTGAAAAATACTTTAGCAACAGAAGAAAGAGTGATTTGGATATCTAACAATAAATTAATCTGTTTCTTTGGAATAGCAAGAAGAGTGCTGTCATTAGATTCAAGAGATGAGAAGGAAAGTTCTTTGCAAATAGTTACGAACTCAAATAATTAAAAATATTAGTTTTAAAAATCAGTAGAAAGTGCTCTGAGGTTAAAAGTATAAAAAATCATTAAAATAATATTTGCTATTTTCATTTAACAAATTTTATCATGTAGCAGAATCATAAAGCAGAAAAAAATACTAGTTTCTATTCTTTTATTATTGATGCAGGGATTGTCTTTTTCTTAAATTTTAGTTTTTCCGGATATCCAAAACGTTTTCCATGCATACAAGTTTAGGTATATATTTTTGTAATATACTTTTTTTTAAGCTTTTCCACTCATCACTCATACAAAACAAAGAGAAGTTCAAAAAGAATTCAGCTAAAAACAAAACCAAGATAAAAATATTTTCCAGATTTTTTCCAGATATTTTCCCTAAAAAATATTCCGGATTTTTAAAATAAGGTCTGGATAAACTATGTTGATATAAATAAATTTGTTTTCAATGTGTGTAAACTAGTGTTCATAGTTTCCAAGGGTCCCCAATGCATATATTAAGAACCAAAAAAGTTCATTTTGTTGAAATAACAAAACATGTAACATATAACAAAGTTTTTTGGTTGCAAAAAATGTGGAATAGAACAAATGTTAAAGAAAATGTTTAAAAAAATGTCTGATTTAAATGTTGAATTAAGGTTACTATTGCAGCTCCTTTTTAATTTCAATTGCGATAGTGGTGTAGTGGTAGAGCGGTCGCCAGCCAGAATTTCCAAGTAGAAGATCCTCACCACGTTTCTGGTAGTACCATGTTCAACTTGTTTCTACGCGAAACGACCTTGTTCGTCAAAAATTGTGTTTTGGAGTTATAGAGTTAAAAGAGGGTTTTAACCACAACTGAAGTAGTCTCCTCAACTGTAGTGGTCTTCATGACCTTGAGGAGGTGAATTTGAAGTTTTAAAAAAAGTATGAGATTGTTTTTATTTATCCACAAAAAAAAGTTGTTCTTTATGATTGATCAACTTTTTTGCAGTTTTAAATCTCTCAGTTCTAAATCAATTCTAAAATTTTCATTTTCTTGAAGTTTAATTTGAATTTTTTTAAAAAAATCATAAAATAAAAATTATGAAATTAAAAAAATAAAACAAAATAAATTAAAAGAAAAAAAATCATGAAATTAAAAGAAAAAAATCATGAAATTAAAAGAAAAAAATCATGAAATTAAAAGAAAAAAATCATGAAATTAAAAGAAAAAAATCATGAAATTAAAAGAAAAAAATCATGAAATTAAAAGAAAAAAATCATGAAATAAAAAAAAAAAATCATGAAATAAAAAGAAAAAAATCATGAAATAAAAAAAAAAAAATCATGAAATTAAAAGAAAAAAATAATGAAATTAAAAAAAAAAAATCATGAAGTTAAAAGAAAAAAATCATGAAATTAAAAAAAAAAAAATCATGAAATTAAAAGAAAAAAATCATGAAATTAAAAAAAAAAAAATCATGAAATTAAATGAAAAAAATCATGAAATTAAAAGAAAAAACCAAAGTTTTTAAAAATATTTGCAAAGCAAATTCTTTTTATTTGTGGGTTTACTTGTTACTAAATATAATAACAAATGTAAATATGAATAAAATAAAAAATAATTATACAGTTTTAATTCATAGTTTTAAAATTATATTATATAATTAAATTATATAAATTATAGTTTAAAATAAAATGCAAATACTAATACTAAAAAATACTTTTGATAAATTGGGACCAGTTACTCTAAAAAACTTCTGAGATTATTCTTCCACTTCTTTGTAGAATACTTTTACTATAGAGTTATTTTAATATTTTGACACAATCAAAACTTCATGACAAAACACTATTTCAGTGGACTGGGTTGTTTCCAACTTTATGGAGGTTATACATTGCTTTTTTTTGAAAAAAGTTAGCAGTTAAATTTTTTCATTGGGGTAAATAGATTTGATGGTTCTTTTCTTGGTTTAATTTTTAATTTTTTTTTGCAACAAAAAACTGTTTAAAATTATTAAAAAACCTCAATCTCCAAAGAAAGAAAAGCAAGAAATAGTTTCAAAAAAGATTATGTTTTATTATTGTTACCTCCTAATTTTTTTAATTATACTTTGTTGCAAAATACTTTTATTACATTTATTTTAATACATTTTATTTGGTAGATTTATTGATATTTATTTTATTTTATTTTATTGATATTTTTAATACATAGTTAAAAAAGCATTTAAATTCCATTTTGCAACTGAATTCACACAATACTTAATTTTTTTTTCAATATATTTTTGTTATGTACAAATTCAAAAACTTTTTGATTGTTTTTTTTTAAATTCTATATAAGTGCTGAAAAATATTTGTTTTAAATGTATTCATCTACCAAAGGCCAAGTCAAGGTACTTCAGTCAAGAGGGTATTATTTATTTTTTGTTTGTATTTGTTGTGACAACGCTCTCTCAACCTTTTAATTCTAAAACATGAACAAATAAGGCTGCTGTGCAAAGAAACAAGTTAAACCTGGTACTAGCAGGAACTGATTGAGGGTTGAACTCCAACTTCTTGCTTATGAAGCATGCACTCTACTCTTATAGCACTGTCTACTATGTCTACCATTATGAAGGAACTCTACTCCTATAGCACTACTAGTCACTCACTGTCACCACTAGTCACCTATAGCACTACTGTCTATTATGTCTACCATTATTATAGCTTAAAACAAAATGCTTTGCAGATGTAATCAGGGTGTTAAACAGGAATAAATTTTATACAGCGTTTGACAAATTTAGGAACTTGTCAAAATATTTTCATATCCTCCTCCTACCCCCGAATTTAAAATGTGTTTTGGAATGCGTAGGGTCCTATTCTTATCTTCTTACTTTTTCTTCTCCCATTCAGTGCTACATGCATTGATTGGATAGCGCCAAGAAAAAATAGCGTCTGTAACATTTATTAAAGATGAAGAGTCTATGCAAAATTAAATTGACTTCACAATGAAACAGTAAATTAAACACCAATTTTCAAAGATAATGTAAATAAGTTGTGTCATCAAAAGAAATGTTTTAAAAATAGAAAAATAGTTTTTTTAGGTTTTTTAGGTTCTTTAGGTTTTGAAATAGTAGCTTGAAATAGTATCATGAGCTCGTAAATTTTATATTTCACATTTATTGCGAGTTCAATTTTATAATTAATATTATTTTTTTGTATACATAAATCACATAGTGAAATAAAGTTACAATTACAAAGTTTCAGCAAAAATCACAACAAATGTCATTTAATTGCAAAATAATATTGTTCGCAAGCCATTGCACACTATTGTTGCAACAAAGAGCACCAACAATTTTTTTTTTATTCACTGTCATACAATGTCGTTTATTTAAACATTTAAATTTGTTTTACGTTTTAAATTCAGGCAAGCAGTGAATCTAGTTTTCTTGTTTTTTAAATTTCTTAATATTTTAAATAAACTTTGTTGACGAAGCACATGTACTACTTGAAGTAGAGTTTGCAGTAAGAAAGTTTTTCAAAAAAGTTATGAAATGGCATAATTAGCGGCGATTTCAAGTTTTACACAATAAATTAGAATTTCTAAAGATACTTTTCTATAACTATTCAATAATTAATTTTCAATAATTTTCAGAATTATTTCTAAATTTCAATTTATGATTTAGCTAACTTAATTTGGAATATGGGATTTTTTTTTTATTGGGAATTTTATGACCATTTGAGAATACTGTGTTTGACGGGACCTCACAGGGCTAGTTTACAACCTGGTAATGTACCAGTTGATTCGTTGTATCAGATTATCTACAAAACTTTTTATTTTTTAGCGTCGATGAACTCAAATGTGTCTTCATTGCTCAAAACACCTTTATATAAACGACCACGGCCAACTCTGTGCGTCCAAGCTGCAGTTAATGGTTCTCAGAAGTTTTTTAGAGTCACTGCTCCCAATTTATCAAAAGTATTTTTTAGTATTTTTTGTATTTATGCATTTTATTATAAAAACTATAATTTATATAATTTAATTATGTAATTTAAATTAAAACTGTATAATTATATTTTTTTATTTATACATTTGTTATATGTTATACATATTTATTTATACATTTGTTATTATATTTAGTAACAAACCCACAAAATTTTTTAAAATTTTCTTTAACAACAACAACAAAAACACTTTCAAGAGTTCTATGAGTTTTTTATTTGATTATTTTACCAAAATATCAAGAAATTTAAAATATGATAGTATATATTGTTTTGTTATATATGGTGCATGAAATCTACAAACTTGACTGTGTAATGAAAGCCGACAAAAAAGTATATAAGAAAAAAATCTGTGAAGAAAGATAAATGATACAAACAAAGAAAAATGAACTGTTTTTCAGAAGGAATAAAAACTATATAATAAGGAGAAAAGTATATTAAATAGTGATGTACCGGAATTCTGTTCCTGTATTTGTGACATCTAGGTCATTCCGGTTCTGGCCGGATTTACAATTTTTCAGGCCAGAATGCCAGAATTTATTTTTTACTTTTTAAGAAAAAAATGTTTTCAGGGCAATGTAGAACTAGAGATAAACCTATGTAAAAAATACAATTTTTCTAACAAGCACAATGTAATTTTATTTGCAGTATATATGTATATATGTATATATATATATATATATATATATATATATATATATATATATATATATATATATATATATATATATATATATATATATCAGGCCTTGTGATGAATAAAAACTGCGCGACGCATAAGCATGACGTGATTTTTGACGTCATTAAATTCTTTTTATTTGCTTTTCATATTTATCGATATTAACTGCACCAATTTACTTAAGTACCGCAAAACTACTTTAAATCATTAATGTAGAAATGTTATTATTTAAAAATGCTATGGAATTTTTCGTTTTTTAAAATGTATATACATTTTAAAAATCAAAATGTTCATGACATGTTTTGTCTATACTAAACGAATAAAAAACATTATAACTAAACATTTAAAAAAAGTTATAAAATATGCTAATATTTGATTTTTTTTTTTTTTTCAAATATGTAATTTAAAGTTTTTCAAATAATTATTTTTTCTTTTTAAAAAGTCAGCGAGTAATAAACTGGAAATCTTAATATTGTACGATTAAAAACTGTCCAATAACTAATATTTTTACCAGCGATTTTATATAATATTTTTTTATTTATTTATTTTAATTTATTTTCATAGAGGAGTTGAAAAGCAAAATCACTCTTATTACTAAAAAACATTGAGTTTGAGTTTTGATAACTTTTAATAAAAAAGCGATTATTTTATTAAAAGTTATTTGTTATTATTTGTTATTATTTAAGTTTTTTTTTTTGATTTACTTTTTACAAAAATTTTAATAACTGTACTTTTTTATTAAATCAAGTAGAATACATTTTAATATTAATCCTTTTATTTATTTTTTTATTTGCGCTTACCAATTTTTAAAATGTTTCCTCAAAATTACTCTCAAATACTTTAAATACGTCAAACAGTTAATAATTATTTTTAAATCTATGGAATAATTTTTAAACCTAACAAACCCCTGTAAAATAATTATTTAAGTTAAAAATCTAAAACTAAAAGAAAGTATTTTTGTTCAATTTTATCGACAACTTTGCTATTGCTGAATAATTTTATTAAAATGTTAGCTTAAAAAGATTTAAACTTTTTCTTTAATCTGAATTTTTTCTACTTGTAAATAATGAGCATATTTAATTTTTTTGTAATTCAAACTTTTATATCAACTGCGTGCGGTTTTTAAAATACTTTATTAAATGTTAAGATAATCGTAAATTACTTCATTAAAATTCCGCTCAAAAATATCTTTAAATAAACTCAAAAAAAATTTTTTGTGCTCGACGCAAATAGCCCTAGCTACACGCAAAATCGCTCTTGGACGACGTAAAATTCACATCGCCCGACGCTTTATCGCAAGGCCTGATATATATATATATATTATATGTTGTAAATATATATTATGTAACCAGAATGCTGAGGTGCAGGCTTTCACTTTTAATCTTAAAGGTAAAAAATTACATAAATATAATTCTTGTTTGAGCCGGAATTTTATTAACAATTCCGGCATTCGGTTCTTGCCAGAAGTTTAAATTTCAAATACGGTACACCCATAGTATTAAATACTTAAAGTCAATTTCATTGTTAAAGTAGAAAATATATAAATATAAATAAAAATAAAGAAAGATATATAGATATTCAAAAAACAATGGTATTGCAATAGCTAGAAACCTAAAGCTGTGAAAGTTACATAGTTTTATTTTCTACATATGTTATGTGTGTGTGTATGCATATATATATATATATATATATATATATATATATATATATATATATATATATATATATATATATATATATATACATGTGCAAATACATGCGGTAATATTTACTTATTTTTGGTTTTTAGCACTTATTTGCTGATTTATAAAGTTTTATGAAGTATTTTATTTATTAAATTTCAGTATTGTATGTCATAGTGGCCAAAAAAATTAACTCACTGCGCTTCTGACAGCATTACAGAGGGGTTCAAATCCCTTTGCTTACATTAATTTTTTTTTTTAATTTTTCCAATTTTCTCTAATACAAAGTAAAAGATTTTGTAATTTTTATAGATATTATATACATAACATTTATAAAGATATCAGATAATATAACAAACAAAAAGTAGAGAATTTATAAAAAAGCCTAAAAAAACTTGTTTTACATATTTCATGATAGAGATGTTATTAATGTGACAAAGTTAAAGAAACTTCTTTTTCATAAGAAAAAGATTTTGCATTCAGGCTTTTATTTTTGTCAAAATTAGTTGGATGGCAATCCTAATAAGCTAAGGATGGTCTTAAAATATTTAATAAAAAATTAATAAAGAAATAAGTCCATCCCTGTTTTTTTTATAAATGTTTTCAATTTTACAATAAGAAAGTAATGAACATTAATCGTTAACTCAAAACAAAGATTTTTTAGATTTTCATTTTTCTACTAACTAAAAGTTATTGAAGTAAAATGATGACTAAGTATTGAAATGTTCAGTGGGGAATAGACTTACCATGACCCATATTATACAGGTCCAGAAAATTAGTTTTATATATCAGGGTGTCCTGAAAATCAACTTTAAAAAAAAAATTAGGCTGTGAGACTGATACCATTTTTTTAGGGCCCATAGGTCTGAAAAATATTTATTTTATGTTTCTGGTATGATTAGAAGTGGTTGATTTTAACTTTTGATTTTTAAGTTTCTTAAATTCATTTTTAAGTTAATTATTTTTAAGGTGTATTGAACCTTACAACTTTTCATAGAAAATAAACAGAGATAAAGTTGTATATTCTACTTTACTTGCCCATAATAGACATTCACCTCTCTAAATTTGTAAAGATCCTATTTCCCCCCCCCCCCCACCTCCTCCCCCTACACACTTAAAGTGCATTTTTAACTCTTTTATTATACACATAGCCAACAATAAAAAAATTTCAAAAAATTCCATAGATTTTTTTCTGTTATTAATCTTCTCACATATATATTTTTTTGATAACTCAATCAAAAATTTTGAAAATTGATATCATCACTGATAAAATGAAAAGCAGTGCTGGTTTTTATAACAATCAAAAATCTAAATGAATTGGCTTCATTGCTTTGGAGAAAGATGGAGAGGAATCCTTAAAATAACTCAAAGAAACCAAAGCGGAAAGATTGAAAAATTTTATGATTTTTTGTAAAATTCAAGAGTTTAAGCAGTCAATATTAAGGTACTATATAAAAATATAAAATATAATTAAATATAATTCATATTTTTATATTTATGAAATATTTGTTTTTTTCTCTATTTTTTTTTACTTTTTGTTATTTTTTTCTCATTTAATTTTGGCAAAAGAATAAACACCTTTTGACAACAGGTGAAGATAATGATGATGAAGAACAGGGTGAAATGATGACGAAGAACAGGAAACAAGTCTTCTGAATCTAATTGGAATGGAGATCAAGATTACTAGCTTCAATAAATTGCAATTAAAAAACCCATGAAAAGATGTCTTAAAAACCATATAATTTAATAATGAAGATCTGAGAAAAAATTAGTCGAATAAGACAGTTGAAAAAATTTTAAACCCAAACATATTTAAGTCTGCAGAAAATATTAATCTAACACTGAGTGTGGAAAAAATAATTGATTGTACTTCAATCACAGGGTTTCCAAAGCTAGCGGCGTGATTTGATATTCCAAAGCGGCATGGATCTTGAAAATCAAGAACATCACTCAATCAAAAATGATTCAAGTAGATTCATTTTGAAAGTAAGCTTAAAGATCAAATGTTATCTAAACATGTAAAAAAATTACCATTAGTGCATCATTACCAGATAATGACACATTGGAAAACCACCTGTTAAGTGTAGTTCAAAGTCGGTCTTCAAAGGAAGAAAATGTTTAAAACTTATCGGAACATTAAGATCATTAGTATTAGGTATCTGGTCCCCAAACCTATCCCCAAAGTTCTTATCCAATGGATTGCGTATCAAAGATACACGTATAAAAGGTATGTTTATCACTACATGGTTGCATTACATGATTGCATTACATGGTTGCATTACATGGTTGCATTACATGGTTGCACTACATGGTTGCACTACATGTTTGCACTACATGGTTGTACTACATGGTTGCAGTAACATGGTTGCACTACATGGTTGCACTAACGTGGTTGTACTACATGGTTGCACTACATGGTTGCGCTAACATGGTTGCACTACATGGTTGCAGTAACATGGTTGCACTACATGGTTGCACTAACGGGCAAGAAAGCTGAAGAGCCAAGAAGGCAGATCTATGTCAAATTTAAGAAACCTAATATCTAATAGTCTAATATCTGTGAGGAATTTTATAAAGGAAAAGTCTCTAGATTTTTTTGTAAATTTTTAATGTTGGTATGTGTATACTAAAAGATTAGGAGTACGATGTGTGTATGTGTGTGTGAGAGAAAGGGGAGGTCTTCATGCATAACAGATTTAGAGAGGCAAGTGTTCAATATGGACAGGTAAATAAGAGTATATGACTTGAGCACTGTTAATTTTCTATAAGATGTTGTTAGGTTCAATACAGCTAAAATACTCAAAAATGAAAATATATATTAAAAGCCAATATGTGTAATATAAAATATATAATAAGTTATATATAATAAAAAGTTATATAGCATTATGGTTTTTTTATGATGCTTAACTAATGTGTAGTATTCAAAGAAGCCATATTCTTCTTTTTTTTAATTATTGTGCATCATTAAAAAATATAGCTCTTTTTTTTTTGGCTAATTAATGTCTAAGTTATGATAAAAATTTTATTTATTTTTAAACTATGAGAAACTAGAATTCAGATGTCTGATATACCATTGTTAAAATAGGTATATGGCACTGTTATTATCTAATTTTGATTTTTCTACTATTATGTTTATTGTAATATTCTAATATTCTCTTTTTATTATTTAGTTATTTATGGAGTGCACTCGTAAACTATGTTTGCCATCTTCTGCTCGTAAACTTTTTTTATCAGATGGAACTCTTGTTGTTCATGAAAGTCAGTTAACAAAAGATTGCGAGGTTTTTGTTTCAACTGGAGAACCTTTTAAAGATTTGTATTTAAGTCTACAAGGTTTGTATTTGTGTTTAGATAAACATATATATTATATTTATAAACATATATAATATATATAATACTTATATTAAACAGCAAGATGTTTTAATAAATAAAGAGAAAAGTGATTTTATAAAGTTGATCAATTAACAAATAACAAAAGATAAGGAGTGATATTTAAATTAATAACAAGGGTTGTATCTATTAATTTTTAAATGCCAACATTTTTACTGGCTTGAATAACAAAAATAACTTAGACTTGAATTACAAAAATAACTTAGAATTGAATAATGAACATAATGAAGCAAAAATATTTTGTTATTTTCTAATTGCTCTTTCCCCCTTACCTGCATTGCTTCTTGTTTTGTGGGTAAGGGTAAAAACAATAAAAAAACCTTTTACTTGATTCTAGTTCAATAAGTTTTGAAGTTTATTTAATGTTTTTTTTATAAAGTTAATAAATTTGTGTAATATTATTCAAATTCATCATTTTAAATTTGCTATAGAATGTTTCTAGATTTAAAATGTTACTACTGATGTTTCTCGATTTAAAAATTTTTAAGTTTTAGAATTTTAAGTAATATTTAAAAGATACTTTTATGAGGTAAATTTTTTTTTTCATTTCACTGATTGTCTTAATCCTGTTTAAAGCAGCATAAAATAGAACTCAACCAAGCTTGCAATTAAAATGATATCTTATAACTCAATCAAGGATGCAATCAGGGATGCAATCAGAGATGCAATGAGTCCCAAAAAGACTTCAGCTTTAAATCACTATTTTTTCCTGGTCTCTGGTATCCAGGAGCTTTACTAATGTGGTTTCTGGTATCCAGGAGCTCTACTATTGTGGTCTCTGGTATCCAGGAGCTCTACTAATGTGGTCTCTAGTATCCAGGAGTTCTACTAATGTGGTCTCTGGTATCCAGGAGCTCTACTAATGTGGTCTCTGGTATCCAGGAGTTCTACTAATGCGGTCTCTGGTATCCAGGAGCTCTACTAATATGGTAAAAAGATAAAAAGTGGCTTATGATCTGCAGTAAGAAAAATTGACATCTAATGACTTAGAATGTCTTTTGCTCGGAGTTCTGTTCTCTGGAATCCTTGTCGCCTTTATACATAAAGACTTCGTGTTTAAAATTAATTGTTTCTCTATCCTATAAATGGTAATTTTTTTCCTAAAAGTAGTCCATAAACTTTCAACATTTTTAGAGCTCCTAAATACCAAAAACCAAGATGTCATAATCATTTTGTGACTTTCAAATCCTGAGTTTTTTTGAGGCTCCCCATTCTTGAACTCAATATAAGTCAAGCATGTACATAAATGTTTTAAACATTTTTTTAAATATGAAGGAAGGTTGTAATTTATTTCAACCATGATAAAACAACAAATAAGATAATTTTGCTATTTTATGGCAATTTAAAATCGATTGTATTATTAAAGTCATCAAGTATAGATTTCACCAAAGCTGATGGAATCAATTTTAATAAAGGCAATAGAAGAAAAGTTTTAAAAAATTAATAAAGTTACTATGTCTTATGTATTGATTTTTGGAAAACAAGTATGGTAAACAATTTTTTCTAGTTTGAAACTTTAATGATATACATAAATCATTTATAAATCTTAAATCCACTTTCTTTGTTTTTTTCCCACATCACTCGCTTTCCATTCAATATATTTCCATTCAATATATATATATATATATATATATATATATATATATATGTATATATATATATATATATATATATATATATATATAGTCAATTTTCGATTAAATTTTTAAAAAGTATTTAAAAACAAAAAACAAACTACAATTTACAAAATTATAATATAAATTACAAATAATATTAAAATATTCAAATTACAACTGTTTCATTATAGAAAAATGAGTAAATATTGTATTATAATGTCAGGATAAATAAAAATAGTAATTAAAAACGACAGATTTTACAATAACAATTTTTTGCATACCATTTTTTGTTATGTTTTTTGAACACCTCAGAACATTTAGAGGACATGGTCTTGTTATCTAGAGTGTTCCATAGCAAGATTGCTCTAAGTATAGTACAACATGTATCCTTATATTTGGAGCCATTTGAAGGTAAAATCATTTTTATGCTACAAAGTTAAAAAGGAAGGTTTTTTGTATTGAATAAATTCTTTATAAATTCTGGATTTGGACAATTGGTTTAAAAACTTCTATCATAAGAAAGCGCAAATTTCTAAATCCTCTGACCAAAACTTAATAATTAATCAAGAATTAAGTCAAACCTTTTATGGACAATACAAAGAGCTTTTTTATGAATTCTATTTATAAGGTTGTCATAGTTTTATAACAAAACATCCAAATTAGGGGACATTAAGAAAAATTTGACATTATGAAGGTGTAAAACAACAAGGTAGCTTTATTACGGGATAAAAAATTTCTTATATGTGAAAGAGCAAAACATTTACCATTAGCTTAACTGCATAAATATTTAATGTGTTCTCCAAAATTTAAATTCTTAAAGTAGTTTCACCCTATCAGAGGCAAAAACTATTATATTACCTAATTTTAGGTATTGATTTTTTGTGTTTTTTAAACCAACTAAATGTAATTAGAATTTATCAGGGTTGGCAACTATCGAGTTCAACTTAAACCAGGCAATGGTATTAGTTGCTTCTTTTTGCAATCGAAAAATAACCTTTTCTAAGCTGTAATCACAGGCATACAGCACATTATCATCTGCACAATTGTTGCACAATTCAGTATCTTTAATAAATAAGAATATATCATTTATAAAGATATTAAAGAGGATGGGGCCAAGAATGAAACCTTGAGGCAATCCCGATAAAATATCAACCCAATTAGAAACAGAAGGTCCTATCCTTACCTTTTGTTCACGACCACTAATATACGATATAAAGAATTTAGGGCTTTCTTTAGAGAAACTATACACCTTTAATTTAGCAATAAGTAGGTTATGCGGAATGAAATCATACACTTTAGATAGATCCATTAATAATGTTTCTACAATACCTCCATTGTTAATGCATTCATGACACTTATTAAGTGAAAAAATAAGTGTATGCTGAGTACTATTACCTCTACGAAAACCACACAAAAGTTTGTCAAATTTTGGCTCCATAAATAACAAAATCTGTTCATAAACGATCATTTCAAAAACTTTGGAGAGAGCGGGTAGAATACTTTTAGGGCGATAGTTAGCCTTATCTGTTGGGTCATTTTTCTTAAGACACGGTAAAACATCTGCCATTTTTTAGAAATGACAGAAATGTTCCATCTAAGATGCTATTATTGATACAATCTTTAAGACTATCCTTAAAGTATATTAAGTAAGATTTTAACATAAAAGTTGGTATTTCACCACTTGTTTTTTTTTTTTCATATTTTATAATTTTTGTAATATCATCTAGTGTAATACAATGGAGCTTGAAATTAGGTGCATTTATTTTGAATGTTTTTTTTATTTTTGATGTTTCTTATACTAGGATTGTCAGCATACTTTTTAATAGCTGACTCAACTAGGTCTGAAGTGCAAGAGAAAAAGGCCATTTAATATGGTCGGCCATACTTGATGGCGATGCAACATTTATGAAATAGTTTTTAAAAATATCAATCAACAAAGAACTGTCTGAGATAATGTTGTCATTTTCAGTCAGAGTGATACGCTCGTTAGAGTTTGTAGATTTGTCCAAAAAGAAAGGCTTAGTAAGCTTCCAGGGAGATGTATTTTAAGTTAAAGTGTATTGATTTGCTCAAAGTACTTTTTTTTTTTTGGTTTAGCTTAACCACCAAATTCCTTTTTTTTTTGTACATTAGAGCTGAAAAATCTGATTTATCAACGAAACATTTTTTTATATAATGAAGAGCGGATCATAATTGCTTTTCGTAAGTCTTTAGTTATAAAAGGTTTAGTTATAAATTCTTACCTCTTAGGATTTTTGATTTAAGAGGGGGAATATTAAGCAAATGGCTGAATATCTCATTAAAATAAAATGTTTACTGATAAAATATACTTATGTAAAATTGGAAACAAGTTTGTATTTAAACACATTAAACACTTTTGTTGAAAAGTTAAACATAATGAAGCTTAAACACAATGACAACTTTTAAACTGTTTGTTAAGAGAGAGAATTATTAATAGTTACTAAAATTTTTTTTTCTTTTTAAGAACTTCTGTAAATTATTTATGTATTAAGAGAACTTATAAATTAAAAATGCTTAAGCTAATTATTTTATTGTACAATTCTTTGACTACAACACAAAGTTATAAACACAAGTTTATATCACTAAGTCATCCACTTATTTAGGGACTTCTCAAGTTATCAAAGTCTCAATATTTTTGCCTATCAGACCCAATCTTGTTCTTGCTCCCCTATGGATAACTATAAAATAATTTTTTTTAAACTCATCAATGATCGCTTTGTTAGCAGTCTTTTTTAAAAAAAAATCTCATGTTGACGGTTATGATTTATGTCTGTTAATAATTTTGTTGACAAACTATGCTTCATGTCTGTCATCATTTAATGTCCTTACTAAAAAAAAATTCAAAATTTAAATTTTGCTATAACTAAAAATACAAAACTATGAAAAAGCATTTTTTGTTCAGTAGGAAAAATTTTTGTTAAAATGATTTTTATTTAAAAAATTTTGTAAAGTTTTCATTTTTTTGTTTTCAATTTTGCATTCAAATATTTTGATTTGTAAAATCAAAGATATTAAAACTTTAATTAATAATATTAAAACTCTTGCAATCATATATGTTTTAATTAACTGACTCAAAACACTACATCAGATCAAGAAAAAAATTATATTTTAATGAACTTACCTATTTTAATGAAAATGCACAACTCATAAGCATAATGGATATAAAACAATTTTTTTTGAATTACTTTTTTTATTTACAGTTATTAACTTTTTTAAACTACAAGAATTTACTAAATCACTATAAAGATAATTTATTTAAAAATAAAAAAACAATGTAAAAATTTTATATGTTCAAATGTTACTGAATGTATATTGTTTTTAAAAGTATAAAATTATTTCTTTTCTTGACATTTGATACAATCCTTTTTTTTCTTGGCATTCAGTACTATTCTTAATTGACCATTGGTACCATAATTAATAGTTATATAATTTACATAATAAGTGTATAATTTACATAATTAATGCGGTAGTGGTGTAGTGATTGAACGCTCGCTTCATAAGCTTGAGGTTCCGAGTTCGATTTCCACCACGTCCCTGGTAGTACCGCGCTCAACTTGTTTCTCCGCCTAGCGCCCTTGTTCGTCAATGTTCGTGTTTCGGAGTTATAGAGTTATCTATACTTGAACATCATTGTCATCATGTCAGTCACTTGAACATCATTGTCATCATGTCAGTCACTTGAACATCATTGTCATCATGTCAGTCACTTGAACATCATTGTCATCATGTCAGTCACTTGAACATCATTGTCATCATGTCAGTCACTTGAACATCATTGTCATCATGTCAGTCACTTGAACATCATTGTCATCATGTCAGTCACTTGAACATCATTGTCATCATGTCAGTCACTTGAACATCATTGTCATCATGTCAGTCGCTTGAACATCATTGTCATCATGTCAGTCACTTGAACATCATTGTCATCATGTCAGTCACTTGAACATCATTGTCATCATGTCAGTCACTTGAACATCATTGTCATCATGTCAGTCACTTGAACATCATTGTCATCATGTCAGTCACTTGAACATCATTGTTTGTAACAGCATTATCACTGTTTTATTTTATCTTCGGTTTAAGACTGTTAACCTCATAAAAAATTATTTTATGATAAAATGTTAACTTCATAAAACTTACAACAGAAATTAATAAAGTTTAAGTAGGTACTAAAAAATGCAAATCGCGAGGTTAGAATTATTTTGTTCTATCTCCATGTTTTTCTGAACCAAAAAAATCAAGTTCAAAGTTTTAATTGGACCTGCAGACCAAATAACATAAAAAACTCAAATAAAACAGATTTGTATTAATTTCCTACATAGACAACCACAGTTTTAAAGAAATTGTATTAAAATATTTAAAATGCAGGTGTCTTAATTACTTCACCCTGATTTGGAATAATCACCCTGATAGAATAATTAGTTAACCAGCACCTCTGGTAAGGCCATTAAAAATGTTACATTTCAGTAAGAAAACCCATTTAGCAACATAACATATAAAACATATACATTTTGACAATATAATAAATTATTTTAAAATAATCTTATAAAATACAATAATTACAGCAGGTATATACTTGAACAGATTTTGAAGGATATTGGCTTTGTCATTTGAAATTTGAACACCTTTATTCAAGAAACCCATTTAATAACATAACATATAAAACATATACTTTGACAATAAAATAAATTTTTTCAAAATACTCTTATAAAATGAAATATATACAGCAGGCAAATATTTGAACAGATTTTAAATGACATTGGCTTTATCATTTGAAATTTAAGCACCCTGATTCAAGGTAGAAAACATTAGTACCTCTGTCATGACTAAGATTGTAGATTGTTAACTCATGCATTTGAACAAACATTATAACATGATTTTCTGTAGTATACATGATCTGAATGCTATATGCTTTATCTACATATAGGGAACAAGCTTAAAATTAAAAAAGCCTGCAATAGCTAAAAAATGTTTGAAATTCAATTTTTTCATTTGTTAGACAGAAAGTTTTTTATTTTTTTTGAAGAGCAGGAGTTGCTCTGATTAAACCAAGGGGACAACAGGAGCGAGTGCTCTATCAGTTTGACTGTGGACATTATCAACCTCTTGTATACTAGAATTTCCTGGTCTTAAACTTTTGTTAAGTTACTCTGATTTTTGGGTAACATATCACAAACTAAAAATCAACAAATATACACGTTCATTTTTCATTGCTGATATTTTGTGTGTATTTAAATTTGCAAGAATTTAACAGTCTTTCTTTTTGGTTACAGATTTGCATGAAACATTTTCTCCCTTTCTATTTTTATATGGCTGATCAGATTGTCTTAGCTGCTTTCTCAAATTCTGTATCCAAGTTTTAGGTATTGACTTTCTCTTCCTAGTTTTTTCTCAACGTAGGATCAGGCGAGGAGCTGGCACTATTTTAAGATTATCATCATGATAATCAAGAGCAGTCAGATCAGTTTCTGAATATAAATCTTAGAACATGTTAGCAACTACTTAGAACATGTTAGCAATGACTTAGAACATGTTAGCAACTACTTAGAACATGTTAGCAATGACTTAGAACATGTTAGCAATGACTTAGAACATGTTAGCAACTACTTAGAACATGTTAGCAACTACTTAGAACATGTTAGCAATGACTTAGAACATGTTAGCAACTACTTAGAACATGTTAGCAATGACTTAGAACATGTTAGCAACTACTTAGAACATGTTAGCAATGACTTAGAACATGTTAGCAACTACTTAGAACATGTTAGCAATGACTTAGAACATGTTAGCAACTACTTAGAACATGTTAGCAATGACTTAGAACATGTTAGCAACTACTTAGAACATGTTAGCAATGACTTAGAACATGTTAGCAACTACTTAGAACATGTTAGCAATGACTTAGAACATGTTAGCAACTACTTAGAACATGTTAGCAATGACTTAGAACATGTTAGCAACTACTTAGAACATGTTAGCAATGACTTAGAACATGTTAGCAACTACTTAGAACATGTTATCAATGACTTAGAACATGTTAGCAACTACTTAGTACATGTTAGCAATGACTTAGAACATGTTAGCAACTACTTAGAACATGTTAGCAATGACTTAGAACATGTTAGCAACTACTTAGAACATGATAGCAACTACTTTTGCATAATATTATAGTTTAATTATTAAACTATTAATATTTAAAAGTTATAACTGTTTAAAGTTTACAACCCTCAAAATGAGGGGGCTGTAAATTTAAATTAGGTATAATTTCTTAACAAAATATTATTTTTCAATAAATTTTAGAACCTTGAAGATGTTTCCACCTAGTTTAGGATATTAGAATTTATATTTTGAAAAACCAATTTCCCAAACCAATTTTCCAACTCTAATTTTCAATTATAAATTCAAGTCATGATATTGTTGATTGTTATCCAGTTCTTACATTTTCCAGGTTGTTTACAAATAATTACTTATATTAAGTAAACACTCTGATAATAATAAGAACAGTACAGTTATAAATTTTATCATCTCATCATCTCCCAGGGAAAATAAAAATTATATTTGATTAGCAAAGTTAAGAAAAAAATGCTTAAAATTTGCAAAACATTTCTAAATACAATTTTTAATTACTTTTTAAAATTTAATGTTTTTACTTTTAAGTACTTTTAATTAGTTTTGTTTATCTTTTCATTTTCTTTTTCAAATTATCATTTATTTCTTTTCTATTTCTTATTTTTTTATTATAAAATTTTGGCTATATATATATTTTGTTAAAAGTCACACACAAAAAATCTTTTACTTTTAGAACGTGAAAAGCTTAGAAAAGCATCTTTTTGGACAGTTAATGGCATCTTTCTTCCTAATTCTTCAGTTAATAATAAAACAAAACACACATCATTATCAGCACGGATGAAAGATATTGCTGACTTCCAAAAACGTAGAGTTTTAGTTTTTAAAAATGGATTAAGTTCAAATGGTGCTGAAATAGTTACAAATACTATGGATGATGTAAGTGTTGTAAATAACTTATAATAAAAATAATAAAATATTTTGTTTTGAAATATTTTAAAAATGTTCAAAATTTAAAATATGATTTTTTTTTGTCACTTTTTAACTTAACTCTTTTGCCCTTTTTTTTCTCTCTCCTTTTTTGTTTGTTTGTCTCAGTCTTTATCTTAAGGTTAATCATTAACTTAATGGGTTAATCATTCATTAATACTTACTTGACTTGTAAATTCTTTCCAACAACTACTAATATTGAGACATTGGGAACTTGATAAATATTAAATATTGTTATTCTTTAATATATTTGTATTACATATCAGCACTGCCTCATCATCATCATCATCATCATCATCATCATCATCATCATCATCATCATCATCATCATCATCATCATTATCATCATCATCATCATCATCATCATCATCATCATCATAATCATCATCTTCTTCATCATCATTGTCATCATCATCATCATCATCATTATGGTCTTTATCATCGTCATCGTTATTTTAGTGTATTTAGTTATGCTTTTGCGCATAACTAAATTATGAGAAAGTCATAATGGTATTATGACTTTCTCATAATACCATTTCTATATACTTTATATATATACATTCTTGTGCATCTATTTTTCTTTGCTACAGCTTTTTTATGTCATCTATAGTATTTTTTCTAATATTATTATACGTAATATGATCAGTAATACTCTCTAAGTTTACCTACCTTTTCTTTTTTCTCCAAAACTGTTCTATCATCTACATTTTTTTGTTACATTTTGATGCCACTTAATATATAAATATATAATATATATAATATATAAATATATAATATATATAATATATAAATATATAATATATATAATATATAAATATATAATATATATAATATATATATATATATATATATATATATATATATATATATATATATATATATATATATATATATATATATATATATATATATATATATATATATATATATTATTAACTTAGCAATATATAAAAGATCCTTATTATTATGAATAAAAAAATTCCTCAACAAATACTATATCTGATATCTGTTATGAACACTCTCTGAGTCCTTTTACTACTTCTATTTTTATCTCCTGAAACAGCTAATGCTCTACATACTGATACCCAATCTTTATGCTCTACATACTGATACCCAATCTTTATGCTCTACATACTGATACCCAATCATTTGTATCTTTATGCTCTACATACTTAATTTTCCCTAATGAACCACACTATTCTCTATGTCTATAGTTATTGTTGTCTATTGTTTAAGGTGTATTTTTCTTAATTCTTTTATTTTTTAGACTTTTATTTTTTAGACTTATATATAAGACACCTGAATACCATTACGTTTCATCACCTATTTAGCCAAAAACACAGTAACTTGAAAAATCATTTTAACAAATTAAGTTTTACAAAGTTTGTTTAATGCATGAGTTACTGCGTTTTGGCTCAATTTTTTTTTTCAAAAAAGTAGTACATATTTTATATCCTAGATTATAAATATATTATATATCCCAGAAAAATAAAATAATATAAAAAAACACTCAAAAATAATTTTTTAAGTTACACTTGCTTTTAATGCCTCCTCTGGCAGTTCACCAGTTCTTAATTTCTCTGTATTCATCAAAAATTTATATGTTCATAACCAATATTCTTTTGAGAATTGATTGCTTACAAACTGTTCATAAGTATCTTAATAATTTGTTCCACATTTTACACGGCCCACATTGTTATTTTCCATTATTTTTTATGTAGCCTTTTTTTTTGACTTCACAATGCATAACTCTAAATTTATTTAAAATTTTCTTTATATTAACCTATGCTTCAACAGTCAACAATTTCATTTTTCTTCTTTAAAATTTTATTTATATTAATCTCTGCTTCAACAGTCAACAATCTCATTTTTCTTCTTCTCTGGACATAAGTTAAATATAAATCATTTGCATAGAAAACTCTCATAGTAAACCAATACAGAACCATTTAGAGAGAACTTTTGAAAAATACATATTTTTTAATAAGCTTATTTTAGTTTTTAGATATGTGTACTACAAGGTTGGGATTGACTTCTGGTGCAAGATACTTATTTAATTGGAATGGAGAATTAGTTGAAGATTTATCACAAGGTATATTTGCTTATTTATTAATAGTTACTATGTAATTAAAATGATAAATAAAATATAAAATTAGAAATAAATACTTAAAATAAAATTTACTAATTTTTTGTGAAATACATTTTAAAATTGATGTTAAGTATCTTGGTTTCTTGATTATTCAAATTGCTGATAATCAATTTGAAGTTATAAATGTAAAGTTATAAATGTAAAGAAATATATTGTTATATTTCTCTTCTTTGCTTTTTTTTGTTGTTGTTCATCTGAATCTTCTTCTTTCATCTGAATCTTCTTCTTTCATCTGAATCTTCTTCTTTCATCTGAATCTTCTTCTTTCATCTGAATCTTCTGCTTTCATCTGAATCTTCTTCTTTCATCTGAATCTTCTTCTTTCATCTGAATCTTCTTCTTTCATCTGAATCTTCTTCTTTCATCTGAATCTTCTTCTTTGATAAAAATGATTTAAAATAAAATGATAATGAAGGATGATATTTTGTATAAAATTATAAAATTTATGGAAATGTTTTTTTTTTTTTCATTTTTAATGTTGCATGGGTTATAATATTTATTAAATAATACATATTATATATATAAACATTTGTTTTCTTTTTTTTTATTATATATATTTTTTTTGGGATTGTAAAAAAATATATATAATATTTTTTTACAATCCTAAAAACACAAAAAATATTTAGAAACTAATCTTGGGTTTTTAGAACTAACAATTTGTTTGGGATGCCGGGGAGGGGGGGTTGCTATCTTTAGTTACTAATGATAGCAACTCCCCCTAAAATAAATAATTGGTTTTTTTTATATATATTAATATTTTTAGTTCCATCTTTACCAAAAATATTGCAACCAACATCAGGAATAGTTTTAGGACCTATATGGGTGACTAAAGGTGAAATGTTTAGTGCAAAAGGCCCCCTTGATTTTATGTCTTTAATGGTAGCAAATACAAGAGAAAGGTTATCGTTATCAAAAGGACTAATGGAAGATGTATACTTTTCTTTTTTTTTTTTTCTTTTTTTGTTTGATTTAAATTTTTTTGCGTTATGTGTTTTTATTTTCTACATGTTATTTTTGTTGATGTTTTCTAATGCATCACTTATAAATTATAAAAGTATATAAGAATACATTACAAGTGAAAGTGAAAGTGAATACACTACAAGTTTACACTCTTAATGTAAACAAATAAGTGCAGTTCAAATACTTTATTATTGTATTATTTATAATTAACTGATATTTTCTATTTATTATTATTTTAAATAATAATAAATAAAGAGTAATCATTATTTATTTGTTTATCGTTTACTTAAATTAGATAAAAAAATGTAAATCTAATAATCTATTTAAAATAATCAAAGTATATATAATATCATAAATATATATATATATATATATATATATATATATATATATATATATATATATATTATATATTAACTATTAAATTTATTATTTTTCTTTTATTGTACCAATAAAAGTGTGCTGAAATTTTACATGACGAGTGTTGTCGTGGATTTGTAAATCAAGAAGTTGAAAAACAACTCAAAGAGGTTTGTTTTGGCTGATTGAGGTTTATTTGACTGATTAAGGTTTATTTGACTTATTGAGGTTTGACCAATATCTTATGAATACCATAGTATTAGCATTTACTTTAAAAAAAAAAGAAAATAAATTAATAGCTTAACTGACATCCTTACAAAATTTGAAACTGCCTTTACCCACAACAATAACAAAGTCCAAATATAAAATTTGACATATTCAATATATGTTTAATATTTAACTTATATAATCTATATTTCTTTTATAAAAATTAATTTCACATTTAAAAACAGGAGGTTGAAGTTGTTGAAGAGTTAGAGAGAGTTCTTCAAATGTTACTACAAATATTAGCCACAATAAAAACTCTGCATGCAGAAGAAAGTGAGGTTTCTCCATCAGCTCATAAATTTCAGCACATTTCTGAAATAAGTTCAGATAACCGTTTAATAAATGGTTTGCAATGTTTCAGAATATTTATTTATCCTAATGGTCAAAAGTGTGAAGAAAAGCTTGTAGTAAATATTCGCGAATTATTAAAAGGTACAAAGACAAAAGCTGAAGAAATGCAGCGATTTTTTGATTTTGTTAACAGCAACTCAAATGTTATAAAAATGTTTGAAATGGACATTCGTATGGTGTCAGTGAAGCGGGCTTTTCTCATTGGCGGAGAAGAAATTACATCTTTGAGTATGTTATCACAAGATGCAAAAATTTGGTTAACTTTAGGAGAAGATTTTATTCCAATTCAGTGTAAGCCTTTTTTTCATATACCATATACATATATATTTTTTGATATATTACAGTAAAATACTTCCTAAATTTTATGAGCAAATTATTTTTAACAAATTTCTGGATTTTTAAGTTTACTTAGGTTTGATCAGTTCTTCGTTATATTAGGTATAATACATATAAAAAATTGTTATTATACATATAATAGTTTTATATAATATAATGCATATAATAGTTTTGCTTTTAAAATGAAATAAAAGTACAACTTAAAAGCATTACTAAGTGATCTTATAGTTTTTATCATTTTTATAGAATTTTATAAATATAATATCCTTCTTTTTGCATTAGTGAAGTAGAGCTCAGTGTAATTGGGAAAAAGTCAGAAATAATAAGTTAATTTACTAGCAAACATAAAAATATTTTATTTAAAAGCAAACATAAAAATATTTATAAGCATAAAAACATTATTAAGGTTTATTATTTTTTATTTAATCCAATAGGACAATAAAAATTTAATCCAATAGGCTTTAAAAATTATGAATTTATTTTTCTTAGTATCTTTTTGTTAAAACTTATTTTCTAATGTTTGTTTAACATAACACAACTTATGTTGGCATCTCTTGGAATCTCTTTGAATGTATGATGGAAGTGTATCATTTATAAAACTAATAACTATTTATAAATCTTGTTCTAAACTTTAATTTTTTATCACATTTTCCATATCAATTGCATTTACTAAATAAAAAAATAAAAAAAATCTCCCAATCTTTTCTTTAATCTAGTATTTTAAGGTTAGATAATATTATGTTGGTAGAAGGATATTTTAATAGCCTAGGATATAATAATAATAATAGCATTTGAAAGAAATGGGTAGAACTTAAATAATGAAGGGAGAATGTGGGGAGGGTTTTGCTATTAGTTGTATAAAATATGTGATAAATTCCTCTAAACAGTCACCTGGGTCTTTACATGCTGAGGAAATAGGTTGCAAGACACGGCTGTTTCACTCAATATAAAAGCGAGCTTGACACCACAAGAATTTTTGTGTTTAAAAAAAAAAAGAATTTCCACATAAAAAGTATAAAAATTCACTACTTTAAATTAATAGTATTTTTTTTCTATAAACGCATTAATGTTGGAATTAAAAAAATATAAAAGAACTATTTTTCTTCGTTAAATAAATATTTACATAAAATGAAACAAAAATAAACATTGTTAAATTATTTTAAATGATTTTGGATCACTTTTCTATTTTTGCGTATTTTCTGGAAAACCTGTCTTAGGCCAATCAAGATTTGATATTTTAAGCTATTTGCTTGATGATTGAAATTTTACATACTTATAAACGAATGTCTATTTTATCAGATTTTTGGAGGGCATAGATAAAAAAAATAGTTTTAGTTTTTTTAGCATTATTATTTTTGTTATGCCCTCCAAATTATTGAAATTTCAACCTCTATGCACATGAAAATCAAAAAAATTACTTTCTGTACTTCTAACTAAAATGTCTTCAACCTTATCAAATTTTGTTGCTTATAGCAAAAATTTGTAGTTACATGCGTAAAATGTTTGTTTATGTTTTAAAGCAATGATGTAACTTTAAATGCCTTACTTCCCAATTCACTATGTAATTATATTTATTAAAACAGCTTTTTTAGCAAGACAAATATTAGTGTATAAATAATAAAAAAACTTTGGCGTTTTTTTTTCTCTCGTGGCTAATCTACAAACATCAGATAAGTTGTTTAATCCTCTGATATCTATTGCATACTTGTTATTTATCAATAATTATTATTTGATTTTATTTGTTTCTATTATATTTGTATTAAGCAGTTTATTTATCACTATACATTCTAGTGAAAGGGAGATACTAATACTATACATTGGATGCTTAAAAGCTTAAGCTTTAAATTTTTAGGCATTAAGCTTTAGCTTTAAATTTTTTAACATTTAAGTAAGATTTTTTTTGTTTTTATAATAGTCCAACAATGTGTTCATTTAATAATAAATATCAGAAATATATTCTTTCTGAGTTTTTTTTGATAAAAAGTAACATCAAATTACTAATATTTAGCCTAGTTCAAAATATGCCGCGTTTATTCTAAAATTAAAGAAGTTTTTTAATATATCTGTGAAACGTCATCAAATAAAACATTTTATGGGTATTTTTATTCTTTTTACAGAACAAAATTATCTCTAATGTTTCAAAAGTTATAAAAGTTTTAGTAACACCCCTTATGTGAATATTTTCAAAAAATAACAAGAAGCCGTAAAGCTCGCTTAAAACAGCCGTGAAGAGTATCTACTTGGTTTCTTGATTATTCTTGTTTGGTTTTCTACTTGATTTTATTGTTTATCTAAAGTTTAACTGTACAAATTAGGCAGGGTGCAAAACAAAATAATCTAAGAAAAGCGACAGGGTGCAAAACAACAGCGACAGCGACAGGGTGCAAAAAAAAATAATCTAAGAAAAAATTTGTTGCTGTTCCACTGTATAAAAAAAAGTAAATAGACAAGAAAATTTGCCACTTCTGCAATTTCATAACATCTTTTTATTTCTATGAAATAAATTTTACATATTACAGAAAAGTTAAATAAATTGATAAAAATTGCCTGAAATGCCTACTAGATGAGTCATCTACTCTTCATCTTCTCTTCATCTTCTAGGATTAACTATTACTTCTGATCTTTCTTAGAAACCATAAATCATATTGATTGCAAAATTAGCATCTGCTAAGGTTAGCATCTGCAAAATTAGCATCTGCTAAATCTCTTTATCGTGTTTGCCACTTTCTTACTCAGGATTCTATTCATCTCTATAAATCTCAAATCAGTCTTTGTATGGATGTCCTTGGATACTGTTGCCATATCTGGGGCAGGTCTTCTAATAATGCTCTTTCTTTTTTAGACAAGATGCAAAAACGCATTGTAAACATAATTGGGCGTGCTCTTGCAGCCAACCTCCAACCATTATCACATCATTGTAATGTTGCTTCTCTTTCTCTTTTCTATAAATACTATAATAGGCACTGCTCTAAAGAGCTAGCATCTCTTGTGCCATCTACTAAAATTCATTCTTGTGTTACTCACTATTCAATCAAATCACATCCTACTGTGACTGTTCCTAAGTGCTACAAAAATTCTTATTCGTCTAGTTTTTTTCCTCAAACATCAGTTCTTTGAAATTTGCTCCCTTTATCTTGTTTACCTGATTCATATAATTTGCAATTTTTTAAGTGGTCTGTTAATCGTTATCTTGTTAAAAATATATATATATATATATATATATTTAAAAAATTAAATGAAATTACTTGCAATTAAAAAATTTGTATACATTTCAAACATATTGTATGTATTTAAATGTACCCTGAAAATAATTTTTTTATAAATACTTATATACAGTAAATAATATATTATATATGCTTTAAATAATTTTTATAAGAAATTTTCTTTTTCTTTTATTTATCATTCCATGATAAATTTAAATATAACATAAATTCTTTGTTAATGTTGTTTAGTAGTTGCTTTTATTTTAACCAACAATAACTATAATAAATTAATAATTTAATATTATTTTAGATTCAATACTATCAATATCCCCTGAAAAAGTGATTTTTAAAAACCTATGGGGAATGAATAAAATACTTCAAAAAGAAGATTGGACCGGAAACAGCTTTACAAAACCTAAATTTTGGCAAGTTTTACCATCAATCCCTGACCAATGTCAAATTGAAGATGTCGAACTTTCTTCATTCGATGAAAAATTAGCTTTTTTGAAAAAATCATATGAAACTAGAATTAGGGAAAAAAATACGTTCTTACAATTTAAAAAAGATTCATCGTTGGTTTTGTATCCACAGTTAAAATTATTGGTTAAAGGTTTAAACCATGAAATCAATATGTGGGGAGAAAAAATTGACCAATGGTTTATAACAAAGGTTTTTTTTTCTTTTTAAAACAAATTTTTAAAACAATTAAAATATCTTACACATGCACAAACACATACACGCACACATACACACACATTTTTTTATCAGTTGTTGTCATGTCTCAAGGTATTTTCAACTTATAGATATTTTTTAATATCTTGGTCTGTGTTTTGGCTTTGTCGTGGTTTGCGTTTTGGTTTTGTTGTGGTCTATGTTTTAGTTTTGTCTTAATCTATGAACTTTGAATTTTGTCTAGGTCTAGATTTGTTACTATTAGCTATAAATTTCTACAAAGTTTAAGGTCTTCTCAAGAAACATTTTTTTATGAGTCTCATGGATGGGTGTGGATGTGGATAAATAAACCTTTTATTTGATTTTCTTTAGCAAAAAAAAATTTATAAGATATTTAAAAAAATAATAATAATAACTTTAGTATTAAAAAAATCAATAGACCTGATACTGTTACAGTCAGTGGTGTACCCTCATAGTCCTCAGGTGGCACAGGACTACTCGTTTTCTCTAAGGGCGACTGAAAACTCTGTCAGTAGCCCAAGTTGTCAAAGTTGTTTAAGTATTTGTAAATATTCCTAAAGTTTTTAGTAGTATTTAAATATCCACTTTATAATTTCTAGGTGCTTATCTACTTTTATTAAAGTTTGGAATTACTAATGTTGTTTGAACTAAGAATGAACTTTAAAAGTTATTTTTATAAAAGTAATAACACTATTATAGTTTTATTACTTTAATAATGCAGTTAGTGACTAAAGTGTTATTACTTTTGTAGTCATGAGTTTTTTGTTATGTTTTTTATAGCTTTTTCCCTAACAAACTTATTATAATTTACTCATTAAAAACAAAGTACACAGTTTTTCATAAATTAAAATTTTAAAAATATCATTATTTTCACCCAAGAAAAAGTACAAAATAATAAACTTTTACACCGGAATACTGATTATCATAGCGGACAACTCAAATGAGAAATAAAAACCGTTTCATACTGTCAATGGTTTTTTCCGGAGGGTACACCACTGACAGTTATGTTGTGCAGTTATGCGATAATGGTGTAGTGGTAGAGCCCTTGCCTCATAAGCAAGAAGTTTCAAGTTCAATCCCCACCACATCCCTGGTAGTAGTCTTGTTCCTTTAGGTTGGTCTTTCAGAGTTATAGAGTTGTGAGAGTGTTGTAACCACAATAGTAACCTCCTTGACTGTTGTGGCTTTCTTGGCCTTGGGAAAGGGACCTCTAAAGTTGTTGTTGTAGCTAATGCTGTTGTTTATGTTATTGCACATGTTGTTGCTCATTTTGTTGCACATGATCTTCATTATATTGTAGTTGCTGCTGCTACTGTTGCAACTGAAATTGCTATATATTGACTATGAAATTTAATTACATTTAATAAAATAAAAAATTTAAAAGTTTTTTTGTGTCTGTTAAACAAAATTATAAATTTAGAACAATGAAAAACAATATATAAAAAGATAAAATTATAAAGTGAGTATTTTTTTATAAAGAGTTGCTCAGTGCCTCTTCACTAAAGAAAAAATAAATTTCAATTTCTTGATGCTATAGGTGTGTGTATAATATAAATATAAAGTTAAAAAATATACTTGAGTTAAACTAAAAACATAAATAAAAAATGTTCTAATGTCAATTAATAAATACTGTCATAATGAAGTTATGACAGTATTTATAAAAGTTTTTTTTTTATAGAGTACTCAATTATTATTGAAGTTGAGCTTCAAAAGTACTTCAAGTTACTGGAAGTTCAAACTATAAAAAGTTCAACTTGTTTATTGTTTAGATAAAAAAAAACTTATGTTTCAGATTTTGAACCTCAAAAAATGATTTCATATATAAAAAATTATAGAGAAAAAGTAACTATATATTATAAATATTTTATATACATAAAATGTTTTATAGTAATAAAGAAAAAGTTACAATGATCAAGCTTAAATATCTTCAGATAATAGACAAAATAATTATTAAATATAAGTTTACTGTACTCTTTTGTAGGCATTTCAATTATACAACATATTAAAACTAAATAGAAAACTTAATGAAAAAATAAAAATAATAAAATAATGAAAAAAATAAGCCATAAAATATAGTTTTGTTACACAAATATGTTACATAACAAGAAATATCAAACTTTAGTTCAACCTAGAGCAGCCAATGAAAACACAGCTTTTTTAGGCCATTTTTCAGACAAAAAAAAAGCGTAATGAAAAAAACAACTAGATAACAATTCCTGTTATAAATATATATAAGTATATTGTAATGTTCATATACTTTCTACAAATAATATCTTTTATATTGTTAAAGATATTGCTTTACAGATATTGTGCAATATTTTCTTTTTCACTTTATTTTCAGGATGGGCACATTTGTAACAGAAGTTTTTCAAACCTTTTGCTAGGAATCTCAGATAACAGTATTTGTTTTTTGTTAAATGATAAAGAAGACTCAGAAATGCTAGATGGAGCTGCTGTTATGTTATTTGAAAAATCTAGTAATATGCACATGAAATGGACATTTACAAAAGATGGCTACATCCAATCTTTAGGTTTGCATTTTGCATATATATCCATTAAACACAAAGAATAAATGTTCTGATCTTTTATAAAATAGTTTCTTTTTTATTTAACTTTTAAATTATTTAGAAAATCCGGGGTATGTTTTAACTGCAGTCAATGGTTTTGAATTGGAACAAAACTCATGTGATAGCGACCAATCAAATCCTGTTATAAGTTGGGAAATTAATAACTACAATCAAAATATAGTAGTAATGGAAAAAAATAATCTTCAGAAAAGTAATCTAAATAATTCTATAGATGAACTTCCTGACCATTATGATGGAGATGATAAAATAGAGATGAATAAAACAATATTTATAAGCAAAAGATATGATGGAGAAAAGATCACTCTTGTTGTTTTGCCAAGATTTCCTGTTCATCATTTTCTTGCTTCTAAACAAAGGTATGGAAAATGTCAAATGTTTATTTGATATTTTTAAAATGATGTAATTTTAATTACAAAATTTAAATTAAAATATTAATAGACTTTATTAATACATAGTTATGGATAAAATATGATTTATCCATATGATTTATTAAATGCATAAATTAAAATTTAAATTTTAAAATATAATATAAATTATAGAATAGTTATTTTATAATATTTAATTGTATATTAAATTATAATAAAAAATAATTTAAATTGAATTTCAAATTTAATGAAAATTAATAAATTAAATATCAAGCCTTCTCAGAAGATGCATGCAATCGCACCCCTTATATGACCGCACATACAATTTATTTGTTCTATTTGCTTTGTAGACAAAAAATAAATTTTCAAATTTTTAAATAATTAATTTAAATAATTTTTTTTTTATTCATTTTATCATTCATTAAAATTTTTAGTTTTTTAGTTTTTTTTTTTTTTCTATATATTATCAATTGTTTTCTATATATTATCAATTTTTCTATATATTATCAATCTATATATATTATCAATTGGATATTTTTTGGCAATGGGTTTTAGAGTGCTTTATGTTTACTAATTCGTTAGTGTGCAAAAAAATATACAGTATATTTTTTAATATATATTTATATGTGTATATATTAGGGATGTACCGGAATTCCGCCCAGAATTTGTGACTTTTAAGTTATTCAGGTTCCGGCCAGAACTATAATATTTCAGGCCGGAATGTCAAAATTTATTTATTTAAGACATGTGACACAGACTGTTTAAATTTAAAAAATCATTGTCCTACAGGGCAATGAAGAACTATGGGTAAACCTAGATAAAAAAATATAAAATTCTTAACAAATAAAATGTAATTTTAGGTAAAGCTACAGTTTAGCGCTCTAAAACAATTTTAATTTTTTGCTTGTAGAACCAGACTTCTATGTACTTGTAAAAGCAGGCTTCTGAGATGGTTGATGTAGCAATGCTCCTTTGAAGCAGTAGGCTATAAGATAATAGATGTAGTAGCGCTCCTTTGTAGCAGCAGACAATATGATAATGGGTGTAGTAGCACTCCCTTGTACCAGAAGGCTATAAGATAGTATATGTATGTACTAAAGCCAATAAATATTCTTTATGTTTATACTAAAAAGTTACCACTTTGAGCAAGTCTCCACACGAAAGCGCAACAAGTGATAAAATAAAATTATTTCAGACCGCATATCTGTAGCTTTGCCTAATTTTATTTGAAAATTTTTTGCCTAATTTTTGCCTAATTCTGAAAGTTTAGGAACATTGTGGTACAGAAGAATTGATATACAGTTTTAGGCAACAAACAGCTCTTTTTTCATCAAAAATGTTATTTTTACATAAATATAAATCTCATTTCTGCCAGTCGGAATTTTTTCAACAATTCTGGTAAATCTGGTTCAGGCCGGAAATCAAAATTTCCAATCCGGTACACCGCTAGTGTATACACTTTTATATATTTTTTAGTTTTGCATTTATAAATAATTTATTCAAACTGTTTGTATACATTTTTTTTTATAGATGGGCTATAAAGAATGAACAAACTCAAGAGTTGGGGAAATTAAGTAAAAAGTGGGAACGTCAAAATCTTTGTTGGCCAGTTAATGAATCAGAAGAATATATTGCAGTATGTACTTTTACATGATCAGAAAATTTTTTATCATGCACTTAAGTTCACACAACTTAAATTAAAGTTCACACAAGAAAGTACTTAATTAAAAATAATTTTTATTGATTTGGAGAAGAAAAAAAAGAGTGTAGTTTGACTGCAGTTGGAAAGTGAAATTTAAAAACATTTGTTTTACAATTTCAACACAAAGTACTTGTATTAAATTAAATATTGAGTAAATATTGATTCATTTTTTAGTTTGTTAGGGTGTAAATGAGTAAATGAGATAAGGTTGTAAATCTTTATTATAAGGTTAAAATGATGGCTGCTTCCTTTTATATAGTACTTGACGTATTTAGTTAAGTTGATCTTTTACTGATCTTTAGGTGTCTTTTACTAGCTTTTAATGTTAGAAAATTAAACATTTGATTGACATCAAATGTTTAATTTTCTAACAGAAAAATGTTTATTATCTATATTCATGTTTTTATAAAGATATTTGTCTTAATCATATATATTTCATTTAGAAAATTTTTTCTAATAGAAACAGTTTTTAATGATTTATTTCTTAAAACAAAACTAAAATAATTGTTAATTGTTAACTGAGCAGAGTATTTTAATTTCACATTCAACTTTACTAGCCTATTAAAGTCTAATTATTTTTCTAATCAAAAATTTAGTTTAGAAAATTATTATATTTGCAAATAATTTTTGGTTTGGCTTTATAAGAAGTTGGCAAAAACTATATAGATAAAAGCTATAGAGATGCCATTGTGAAATTTTTGTTTCATATGTCCTTGTTTACTTAACACCTACATAAACCAAGCAGAGATGATTTTTGTTGTATTTTTTAACATCATAATATAAAATTGTATTATGTTAGAATCACCGATAATTTATCTTTAACAAATCTTTAATAAACCTTTAACATATCTTTAACACATTTTCACTAAAGTGAAACTTCTAATAAATACATTAATTAATTATTACAATAGTTACCATTAATTATTAATTATAAATACATTATTGTAATATTTTTGAAAACTAGGAATATGTAGAAATTATTTATAAAAAAAAAATTTTATCAGACTTTTAAAAAGAGGAAGAAAAATAGCTACAATGACTTAAAGAACTTTTAAGAGTGTTCCGTGATCAAAAAAAGTCCAAAAAAATAAATTATGGTTTAAACAAGCATATTATGTTTGAAACAAGCATATTATGGTTGGAAACAACCATATTATGGTTGGAAACAAGTATATTATAGTTGGAAACAAGCATATTATGGTTGGAAACAAACATATTATGGTTTAAGCAAACATATTATGGTTTAAACAAACATATTTTGGTTTAAACAAATTATGGTACAATAATTGGTAAAATAACACAATCAAAAATTTTTAAGTTGAAAATTTTTCTCAAAAACTTTGTTAATAAGCTATAATAAATTTTGTGATTTGGTAACCATGGTGACTGATTTGAAAGTTTTTGTCGGTGACCAATTTGAGAAAATTAAACATCCGAGGTGGTGGCTGGTGAATAAGGAGGTGTTGGGTGAATAAGGAGGTTTGAATTTAAAAAAAGATCATTAAACTTTATAAGTTTAAATTCAGAAAAAAGTTAATTTAAAATTTTAAACTAAAAAAAAAATTTTAAACTAAAGAAAAAATTTTAAAAAATTTTTAAAACTTTTAAAGATTTAGAAATTAAAAAATTAAAATTAATAAATAATTAAAAAAATTAATAATTAATAAATAATTAAAAATTAATAATTAATAAATAATTAAAAAAAATAATAATTAATAAATAATTAAAAATTAATAATTAATAAATAATTAAAAAAAATAATAATTAATAAATAATTAAAAATTAATAATTAATAAATAATTAAAAAAATTAATAATTAATAAATAATTAAAAATTAATAATTAATAAGTAATTAAAAAAAATAATAATTAATAAATAATTAAAAATTAATAATTAATAAATAATTTAAAAAAATAATAATTAATAAATAATTAAAAATTAATAATTAATAAATAATTTAAAAAATTAATAATTAATAAATAATTTAAAAAATTAATAAATTAATAAGTAATAATTACTTTTATTAGTAAAATTTTTATTTCAAGATTTAATTAACTTGTAGTTTTTAATAATGGACATTTAAATTAATTTTAAATTAATAATATTGCAACTTTTCAATTAATGGTTTCTGTAAATAAATGAAAATGTGTCTTTATATATATTGGACTGCTTCATTTTGAAGTCACGAAAAGATGTAAAATACCATG